CCCCTCTCTCTCTCTCTCTCTCTCTCTCTCTCTCCTCTCTCCTCTCTCTTTTTCTGTAGAAATTTTCTTTAAAATTTGTACTTATTTCAAATTTTTCGCATTTTCCAAATCTAATTGGAAAAGTTCCCCCGCCCCCCTTTTTTTTCTGAAAAATTGGTCATGCGCACAGCACGAGGACCATGTGTACGTACCGCGGTGTGTGGTCCCGCTCACGACCCACTGGAGGGTCGACATCTCGGTGGAGTTGGCCATGGTCGTGGTGGCGGTGGACGAGGCGGCCGTCTGCGCGAGAGAAACCTGGCGGGCGGGCGGAGAGAGAGAGAAGAGCGGTGCAGAGATCAAAGATGGCACTGAGATTAGAAGGGGGAGGAAGGGGGGCTGAGGCTGCTCAGAGAATGATTTCTGTCAGAACAACACCGCCGCTGCCGCTCTCTCCCCTCCCGGACGACACGGCGCTGCCAGAGCGTCTCCTCAAAACTTTTGGCTAATGACTTTCTCCAAAACCGCTTCCGGCTGAAGGTCGGCAATTAGACAAGGAGCGTGCGCGAGTGAGCGCCTGCCCGCGGGCGGGGTCATAGTGGAGGAGGGGGGGGGGGGCTCACCTCAAAGGCCTTAAGCATGTAGAGCACGGCGCCCTCCACGGACAGCCCCAGGATCTTGCCGGTGTCCTTGTCCAGGACGATGTTGGGCGGGGCGGACGTGTGCGTGATGTACGAGTCCTCGACGGACTCGTTGAGCGGCGTCGGCGGCGGGGCATCATCTGCAAGAACAAGAGAGGGAGGCGAGTCCGTCGTTTAGTCTAGTAGATATCGAACACCGACCGACCGACCGCCGTCGCCGCTAACGGGCCGGGCGGAGGCCGCTGGGGGCCGCCCGTCCATAGACAGGGCAGGGCGGGATGGATACAATCAGCCTGATGAGATCGTGTAACGTGTAATCATGTTGGGGTCGCCCCCCCCCCTCCACCACCACGGGGGCACACGGGGGTGCACGGGCCCCACGGGCCGCGCGGCCGGAGGCTTCCACGGCCACAATAATGTGCCCGAGCCGCCAAGCGTCAAGTTTCAATAAAGCCGGCGAAAATAATCGATCATAATCACCCGGAGGAAAGCGGGAGGAGGAGGTCGGCG